CTTCGATATTTGGATCAGACGATACCGCGCTTATAGAAGCGAAAGATTGGCTCTCCTTCACCGGCAACAATAACTTCAAACAACGAGAGTAATCTCTGCTTTTTTTTTTTATTTCTATTTGGGTAAACTAAATATGTTTCCGTTTCGAATGAAATGTTGACTGACTTTTTGCGAATTTACTGCGAGATACAAATACGTTCGAATTTCGAGCCTTCGCGTTTTAAAACAAATAATTGCGTTCGCAGTTTATATTTTTTGCTGCGTTTTTTAAACGAGCAGTTATTTCTAAGAATCGCACAGATTCTTTGTTAAAAAATATCCGACAGTTTTCGAGATATTAAATATATCTTCCACCCTCGATTCGTCTCGCGAGAGGATTCAGAATATTTCTGGAAATATTTTTATTTTCAGGAGAATCCGCGATATCCCGGAAAATTATTCGAAAGTTTAATAAAATGTCATTATCTTTCGGAAACGTACCGGTTTGAGGTACCGTATTTTAAACAGAATTAGTCTCTATCCGAACGCTGGCTGAATATTTTGCAAATTTATTTAAATCTCTGTTGGCCGCGGCGAAACGTATCCGAGGCTCCGTGTGGTTAATTCTGTGGCCTAAATTCGTAAAACTCGATAAGCGAAGCCATCCGTGTAACCGCGGGGAAACATACCGTAAGCAAACAAACACGATGTGTTGTTTTGTTGCTTTAACGAACAGTCTCGTTATCGCGGTTGCCACGTTACCTTCGTTTATGCAGGGAACCTGAATTGGTCCATTCAGTGTGTAATACCTATCATTTTGTTTAGTATCACTGAACGTGTTTGCTTATGATTTGTAGACGCCCGTCAAACACAGATGGTTATGATACCGTGGTATGTGCATATTGTACGGAGGTCAGGATCGCTTTAGATTCACGCCGGCTATATAACGGTTAATGTATACTGTTGGGAATTTGAATGACATACTAGATCGATAAACGTCAGTGATCGCCTCTGTGTACGAAAACACCTGTAATCAGATAATTGGTGGTGTTTGATCGCTTATAATTGGTTAGATCGACACGATCCGCATTGATGATATTTGAGAAATTTGATAGTAAGGTACCATCGAACCTCGAGTATCAGAGACTGTCCAACCATTCGATCATCCAAATGCTGATTAAAGGAATATTTGGTTATCGGAGCACCGATCAATTGAACGTTCGATCACCCGAATAACGATGTCTAACAAGAACGTAACACATACTTCTATAATGTTTCATCTGCTCCACGAATAGGAGTAGCTTTTTGCACCAAGATAGATAAAACGTAGAGAAATTCTTCTGAAAAATCGTTTTTTTTTTTATTTTATACGAAATTAGTTATCGTTATTCGTTCTCGTTTGGCTCGTGTAATTAATTTTCTTCGATCGTTATACAAGAGTCCAAAGCATTGAGAAACCTGGGCGGTGCTGTATAGTTATGAACGAGCACTGTGCAAACAACAGATCGGTTGCATTATTTATCAATGGACGAGCAACTTGACGCAAGGCGTTAACCAACTCAACGACGCGACTGTGTAATTACGCCCCCGATGATACGGTCACCTAAATATTTGCAATTCAGAAATGTCTTTGCGCGTCTCGGTAGCATCGAATGATAACGCGGTTAGGTCTTCGAGCGTCAGCGCGTGGAAATTAGATATGTCAAAGTTAAATTTCATCCACGCCTCAAGTAACGTAATTGGATTTTCGCTCTGTCACTTTCGGCTTCTCGCTGTCCAGTTCCCGCGGTAACTCGATCCCGTATCTCGATATCGATTATCCAGCCAATTTCGACCACCGTATTATTAAAACTGACCGTTGCACCGCGAGAACAGTCTTCTTTGATACGAGAAGCGGGACACGCGGGTTTCTCGAGTGTCACAGCCGGATCTTAATTGGTAGAGCTTGCTATACAGCATCCATCCAACGAGCACGGCAGAGCGAAATTAAACAAGGTCTTCGCAAAAGGTGGACGAGTTGAAAATTAATCCGTTGATGGGGCGTCGTATAATAATGCGGTAGCTCGTAATAAAACACGGACGGACAACATTGGTTAACCGTAGCAATTTCAGGAAAAATTAGATCATTATAAAATCACTTTAAAAAGAAAGGGAAAGAAGGGTCTTGCAAATATCACAATTTCAGAAGTGTTTTAAAATCGTATTGTTCGACCTCGTTTGTTTCTAGAAGAGTAATATCAAACAGTTTTGTTGCGAAGCTTTTCTATTATAAAAATACGATAATAACAGATTTTTTTTATTTTATTGTATAAATGGTTCGTTACGATCGGAGTGAACGTTATTCGGTTCGATGAGACAAGCTTCATTCCTAACAATTTTTCATTTTTAATCCAGCGAAAATCTGTTTCCTGTAGACATCTGTTCACCTTCGAGAGGAAATTCATCTTTCACGGAGTCTAACGCTTTGTCAGATTGAAAGTCACCCGTAAACTTTTTTAATGAAACTTGATAGTTCCCTTTACATAATTTTGCAGTTGATACGGGAAGAAATTTCACGACCTTGCGCGATGTTACCGTGAAGTTTATGTAGCATTGAAGAGATTGCGTTTAACGTCGTGCAATATAGTGCAACGCGTGCTGAAATGATGTTCTTTTATAGTAGATCAATATCACCAACAGTGGAGATCGTTAGAAGAGTCATTAAACGACTGTGACAGAAATCATGAAGCATACAGGATGTTGCGACTTTGTTGTAATTAGTTTGAATTATTTTTATTCGCGATTTTGTATTTTCGATCTCCACGGTGTACTTTTAACATTTCACCATCTTCTCCAACAAACAAACACGAAAACAATTTTCTCTTGCAATGAATGGTTCCTGTTCAGCAATTAATGTGCAACCAAGAAGCGTAAATCTGTCGCTATCCGCTACAATAATATTTCCTCCCGATTGCGATCCTCGATATTTATGTCTACTGTCCTAAAATTTCGTTGAAATAAATATTCTACATATTTTGCAAGATATTAAAATATTTATTTGCTACAGTTTGTACTAACAAGTATCTACTAGGTTTTCTTTTAAATTAATAATTTTTCTTTTTTTTTTTGAAGTAGGGGGATGAGGATGCAGTAACATGTGCTGCCTACGGGTGTATTTTAAGCAAACACGACTCCGCTCGTACTCTTCGCATTAGTATTGATGATCATCGTTCATTTTTCGAATTAAATGCATACGGGATACTTCGTTCAACAGAAAATATTTCCCTGGTAATATTTCTCGCGCAAATACAGTTTGTTTTTACTCGTTGATTCGTGTTGCTCTTTTCGCGAGACAATAAATTGAGCGGAAATCGCCGGTAGTTTTTATTTTATTTGCATCGCGAAAAACGTAACGTCGCATGACGAAACCGTTTTTTCCGTTTATAATTTATCGCTGGACGAGTCCCGTTGCGTCACGATCCACTTTTCTGTATTGGTAGAGAGGTTAATCACAACCGGTCAAATGGCCGGTGAACGATTTATATTTTTTTGTAGAAAACAAAGTTTGGTAACAAATTCTGGTTAGCTTTCGATGTAAATACGAAATACGTATATAGCAGAGACGAAAGGAAAGAATCTTCAGTTTTCACTATCTTAGAATGGGCTAAAAATGGTCAAAAGGTATTAAAAATAGTCAAAATTTAGACGCGTGTAATTTGAAAACCATTCATGTTTTATACATAAATTGACTATCATTAGAAGCGGCAAAGCTTCCCCTTTAAAATGCTTTTACGTTTTCAAGATATCGTAATTTATGTAAAAGTTAATTTTTAAAATTCCGTTATCCCTCGCTTCCCGTCTTAGAAAAGGCTATTAACGCGTATTAAAAATGCTAAAACTTTAGACGCGTACAGTTCCGAAACTACTAGTGTTTTATAAATTATTGAAGTACTGTTGGCAGCGGTGAAGCTTCCCCTTTAAAATGGCTTTTGGTTTTTGTCGATCGGACTTTTCGTTTTCGAGATATCGTAATTTATGTAAAAGTTAATTTTTAACATTCCGTTGTCCCTCGCTTCCCGTCTTAGAAAAGGCTATTAACGCGTATTAAAAATGCTAAAACTTTAGACATGTACAGTTCCGAAACTACTAGTGTTTTATTAATAATTGAGGTATTGTTAGAAGCGGTGAAGCTTCCCCTTTAAAATGGCTTTTGGTTTTTGTCGATCAGACTTTTCGTTTTCGAGATATCGTAATTTATGTAAAAGGGTATTTTTCTTAATTTGACTATCTCTGTCTCCGTCTGACGCGTCGCGTCGTACCTCTTTGTCGCGCGTGAGTCGAGACAGTCGCGTGACCAGGAAGTAGTAGTATTTCCAAGAATTTACTACGCATTGTTTACTACTGTCGCGCGCGCGAGTTCATTCATCTCAATGAAACGTAAACAAACGCTTCGGACACTTATATCTCCGGAACTAGCCACCCCATCGACTTGAAACTAAAACCGCTATATCTCCGGAACTAATAAAGCTATCGACTCGTACAAACGCTCATTTTAAAGGGCATTTCATTTCCCACCTAATGATCATATCACCTACTATAATTTTTGCTATCTTCTATGTTTATTTTGAAATTTACTTTGATGCTACATACGCAAAAACGTTTCAACAGTTCCTATCGATTATACGACCGGTGTGCGATGTAACTAGATCATAAATTGTTTATTTAATTGAAAGTAAATTTAAATTTGTGTAAACCCTCACCGTCTAACTGCCCTAAAAGTTCTGAACATCAAATATAATATCCTATTTAGCTCAAGCAAGATTCATGGGTTTCACTATTAGGGAATAATTGATCGAACGTACGACGACCGTCGCTCGAGCATAAACAATTTCGACTAATGGTACGCCCATGTCCGTAACTATTACGGTGGCAAAGAGTTAATTTGTCTTCCTAGATTACGTCTAATTATCCCGAATAATTCGAACAAGCCTTGTGCGCGACTACGCCTCGAACCGCAAACGGATAATCAAGATTCCGCTCACCTGATGGCGATGTACCTCCAAACGGCCAACGTGAGCGTGATAGCGATGCTGATTGTGTGCAAGAGCTGCGCGAAGTGCATGTGGAAGAGAACGAACACAGCGCATCCGTAAGGAAATATCTGCCTCTTTGGCAGCACGATGTACTTGTAGATCGCGAACGGTATGTACTCGAGCATCACGAGCATGTCCGTGGTGGCCAGACCGGTGAGGATTTGGTTTATGGGGGTGGCGACCATGTCCTTTCGCGTCAGAACGACGATGTTCAACATGTTGGCCAACGTGCCGAACAGACATACCACCAACGCCACGTAACCGTGGTAACTTTTGTACTCGACCGCCAGGTCTTTCACGGTACCGTTGCAGTAGCAGGACGTATGGTTGCTGGACGTCTTCAACAGCGTCGTGGTGCCGATGGTGAAGTTGTTCACGTAGTCCAGGTCCTCGACGGTGATGTTCATGTCGTCGAAGTAACCGGTCAGATTGTCAAGGCGATTCATGGCTGTCACGCGACGTATCAGGAACTTCAGGTGCAGCACGGTCGCGTTCAAGCGCATACGACGCCAGGCGTCCTTGTCGGGAACGTGACGGAGCATCGCATCCTGGGGAACGGTGGTCGCATCGTTGCTTCTTCTCGTAATTGCTAATCAGATTTCTATACCCCGATCCAACGTTTCATCTTCGTAAAACAAATCACTCTGTGCTGTATTCTTCCGATCGAATCAGTCTGTGATCCTCGAATCCCACGGATCAGAGGTAGCTTACTATTTCTGATGGGTCAACGTGGCTATCAGCAATCTGTTTCCGATTCAATATTTAAACGGATCCCAGCGTTCCATAAAAATGAGTGCCGCAAAAGATAAATATGCGAGGCCAACGCTCTGCTCTCTTAAAACAAATCGTAATCCCACTTTCGCGGCAGTCGAACGCGGTATTCGGTGATCCCTTTCCGTTCAATATTTAACCACTCGATGCCCTCGATGAATCCCAATGCTGCGTAGGGATTTGTTTGAATGTGCCAGAAGATAAATATTGTTCTTTTAATCGATCGATTGGCAGTCGAATCGGAATATTCCACCCCCGGTTCCAAACACGATCCTCTAACGTTTCCCGCGGCTTTGTCCTCGTACAAATTCTCTTTCCGTCACGACGAATTACTCTTCCGGGGCGGCGGATCGTATTTTCCGGCCTGCACGCGGCAAAGTGTACGTTCCGTGGAAACGCGTCCAAGTTACGACGCGCCTGGGACGCATTCGGGCGGACGCCGAGGATACGCCTGGCGCGTTTCTGTATGACGTTTTTCACGAAGGCCGCTGCATCCTTCTCAACTTTTCCTTTTATTATCTGCTTTAGTTACCCGACGTCGGATCCGTGGAAAGTTCGCGGTTAACATCACGGTCGTACCGGGCGGCTGTACGGAACTTCTCAACCTTGAAAAGCTTCCGTGGAGTCTTTTCGACGTCGAAATATGGAGTCTCTACCTCCCTCGCTTGTTAATCCAGCAATTTGTATTCCGTCGGAATACTTATACCGTGGAATCTATTAGACCCTTCTAAAATCATTTCGTTCTGTTTCGTGACCGGCCTGACGATCTTCGCCGGATGAATCCCGGCAGCCGCAGATTCCTCGCGACGTTTCCCTTCGCCAGCGTTGTACGCGACCCCTCAAATCAGTTCATATTCCCTCGTCAGCGTCTTCTTCCACAGAATTCACCCTCCTCGAGTTTTTTCACGATCGATTTGCAGCGGCGGGATTCGTGATGCGCGCTCTTTCGGAAAGTTTTCCTCTCCGGCGGAACGAGTAGCCCGAAATCTGTTCTCCCGTCTACCCGGGACGGCTTCCTTAACCCATTACGTTCTCGGAGGCCTCGATGTTCATCCCCCCGCGACGGATAATCCCGCGGGTCACCGTCGGAGCATTAACGACGAGTCCAAACTGATTGGCGTCGATACGGGGCACGACGTTTCATCGTACAGGAATCGATACCGTCTTCGGTCACGTCCCCCAGCTTTCCACTCGATCCAACCCTCGAGAACAGGCTGATTATGGGATTTCGACCGAATACCCCCAGCTGCTAAAAGCCTCCCTCCAGCCGCTTTACGGGGGGATCGAACCTGGAAAAAAGTTGTTTGCGTTCGATTAAACACTGTCGCGAGAGGCACTGGGGGTTGTGGTCTGTGTCGATGTAAAGTCGGGGGAGACGTTAAGTGGAAGCGTGACCTTGTTTCGGAGATATTGATAAAAAAGTCGCGAAGAAATTAAACGAAAACGTGGCTGTATTTTGAGGGATCGTAGTATAAGTTAGAATACTGATGTGTCGTTGGAGACGTTATCTATAATAACGGTCAACGTAGCGTGAAATTAACCGGTATAGAATAGAGACAGTCTAGATCAGTGAGGATGGATCAAGAATCTGTTGTGGAATCGGAAGGTAAAATAGAATACTTGCCAGGATTTATTTTTGAACTAGAGCTCATGGTTAGGTGTCTAAATTTTTCGGGGGGAAAAAAGCTTTTAAATCGTTCTGAAAAAATATTTTTGGCTGCAGGGGTCAATTACAGTTATTTTTGGTCAATACACATATCTCCAAAATTCTGCTCATTTTCGAGAAAAAAATTCGAATTTGTGACTAAATTTTTGACGAAATTAAAATGTTTCAAATCATTCTGGAAAAATTATTCTCGGTTGCGGGGGTTAAATACAATCATTTTTGGTGAATAGACATACCCCCGAAATCCTATCCACTTTCTAGAAAAAAATTCGAGAAGGTGTGAAATTTTTCGACGTGAAAAAAAATTTCAAATCTTTCTGGAAAAATTATTTTCGGATGCGGGGGTCAATTACAATCATTTTCAGTGAATAGACATACCCCTAAAATCCTACGCATTTTCGAGAAAAAAATTCGAATAGGTGACTAAATTTTTGACAAAATTAAAATGTTTCAAATCACCCTGAAAAAATTATTTTCGGTTGCGGGGGTTAATTACAATCATTTTTGGTGAATAGACATACCCCTAAAATCCTACGCGCTTACGAGAAAAAGATTCGAACAGGTGACTAAATTTTTGTCGAAATTAAAATGTTTTAAATCGTTCTGCAAAAATTATTCTCGGCTGCGGGGGTCTATTACAATCATTTTTTATGAATAGACATACCCCCGAAATTCTGCTCACTTTCGAGAAAAAAAATTCTTTACCGAAAATACAATGTCTGACCAGGCGTTGATCTATTCCACTGAAATTTCATACGTATGTTTAAAACGTTATAACTTCTGAACGGATTGGAGAATTTTAATGTTTCGAAATGCAATCAACGCGTATTTTAATGAAGAATATGTAGGAATTCTTCGAATGTTCGAAAAGTTTTTTCTTAATCCCATAAAGTGGGGATCTACTCCATAAAAGTGGTCCAATTCTTTGTTTGTATGACTTCATACGTAGGTATAGTCCAATTATCCGTCATATTTGATTTTCTGGCATTGCCCCAGTTCCAAGTATGTCGGATAATTGGAATTTGACTATACAAATATCATCGTTGGGGGTTGAGGATTTAATAATTCAAGGAATAAACATTTCCCTGGAGATAAACGAGGACGAATTTGAAAGAAAAATATCACAAAATTATATCTCCTGTCGAACTTGATATGCGCGGAATTTCTTTGGCGTCGCTTTTTATGGGTTAAACTCATCCTCGAAGTAGGGATCTCGCGTCCAATAATATTCAAAATTTATTTCCTCGATCATTTGGAGGGCACAACTCCAGACCTTACATCCTGAACGGTCTCATGAATGATGGCCAATATCCCAAAATTGGCTATTCCCATATTTCAGACTTACGTGTGCCCATGCTTATGTACTCTGTGGTCGAGATATTTAGGAAACAGCAAAGGCAAGTTTAACCATGCTTCAAGTTTACTTTTTTAGCATAAAGCCCCTCACTGAATATTTATCTCTGTGGCCTTCCTCTACACGGGGAATGTTGATTTATGACGAGCAATATCCCATAACAAACAGCAACGAAGAATAACAACGACGAATATTATTTTCTCTTCGAGCAAGCGCGAAATTCTGTTTTTTCGCGTTTGATACCACATCGTCTGTTCCTGTTCGACGGACCGAGGGAACTCGGAGATCCTCTCAGATCCAGTAGAAGATATAAAAGTACGTGTGTTATCCTACCGGTGTAGACGAATCGCGCGAACCCTGCTAGGCGAGAGTTTCCGTCCGTAGCAAATTGGGCTGCAGCCAATCTCGACCGAGCAATTTTGCAATGGCTGTTTCAGTTTAGGTCGAAGGCAGGTGGAAAATGCACGAGGCACGTTTCGCTCGTCGAATGGAAATTTCAGTTGCGTTTCCCGGCTACCGAACAATATTTCATCGCGGCGAAACGGAAACGCGGGACAAGAAACGCGTGCACCAGGGCGGAAACTTTAATAAGCGTTGGTTAACAATTTCCATGCTCCAGTTATTTCATTATACGAAGACAGGATGCTGAGAAACGCTGCACCTGGTTTTCCACAAATATTACAAACGGACCAAGGTATGGATTTCGAATCGAAACGCTCGAACGGGTACGATTCATACGTGTTCAGGTACACGTGCAGCCTGTTACAAATTGGAAGCATATGGCGTCGGTGCTTAAGTTGGAGGACACTGACCAGAATAGAATCTCGCGCGGACCATTACAAATTGAAAGCTTACGCTGGAAATGCTCGAGTTCGCTGGAATATTCAGGTTGTCTCGTAACGCGCGGAGCTTACTGTACAGCGGCGAACAGAGAACGCGAAAATTATACCGGTTCAGTTTTGTGCGTGCAACAAACATTTTTCATTATTTCTTCATCTCCCGTCGCTGGCTGTAGTACGATCGTACATTGTATGAAGCAAGTTCGAGGGAACTTTCGTTATTTAAAAATTATGTTTGCCGACCCGTCGAACAGGTCGAAGTGGAAAACTTTTCGTAGAAGAGCGGAGTTTAAAATGGTTCTTGAAAATGGCAAAGTAATTCCTCGACTTGAACGCACGTTTTTAATAAGGCTCTCGCGAATGGCGGAGGAGTTAAGAACAATCGTCCACGCTGTCCAGTTCTTTAGAAGAAATGTTTTTCACTTTCCATGAAATTGCGTTCAAGAGAAAAATACGATAGATTCGATCCGCTTTGTTCCTCGAGCGTAAAACGACAGTATGTTTGCGAGGAAATTGAAGAAATTCTGCAAGATGGAAGAAAATATTACGGAGAAGGTGTCCTCGATCACACGTTTCGGGGTTCGATCTGTGGAATCTTATTTTTCGGTTCGTGTAATGATTACCCCATTGCTTTTTATAGTGGGAGCAATGGTGGACCCCCCAGGGCGGGATAAAATGAACCAATTGCACCCCTTCCTACAACTTTTCTTATACGTAACGAGACAAGAACACTTCGTACTAAAATTTTAGTACACGTGACGAGACATGAATAAATTCTATACATGAGTGTGTTTCATCGCGTTCAACGATAGGTCGTAAGTTTTCCACGTTGAGTTTTGTATTTCATAAGAGATAGTAAATTTCACGGTCTCTTTTTCTTAAATAAAATTCCTTGTCCACGAATAAAGTTTC